CTCAAGATGGGTTTACAAGCAACAGTATTCCATGTTTTAGGACCTTCAAAGAAGCAAAGTTAAAAAATTTTACTGAAGAATTTTATAAATAAATGTATCATTTCACAAACTGGAATCTTCAGACAAATTAATAATATTTGTAAAATGTTCAGAGCAACAGCATAAGCTGTATGTAGAGTAACAGTTAAGAATTATAAATCTATTTAATCCAGAGATATAGAAATGCAGGACTGCGTAATAGCATTAGATATAATTCACTTTAAAAGGAAACAGTAAAAAAAGATTGCAAAGATAACAACTATACTAAAAACTGCACAAATGATGGAGCCGGAACTTACAAATTTGCACCTAACATTACAAGTACTGGTGGTGGCACAAACATTAATGAGTTTCACAAGGCGCAGTACTAAGACCAGTTACTTACATATTCACTACATTGGGGTAATACGGTAATACATGCTATGACAATCCAATTTGCAGCTTAGGTTTCCTGTTCATTTATTTATTTTCTTACTTATTTTCACCAGACAAGTTTTGAATATAGAAACTGGCCTACAACATGTGTTTTCAGTTTGTCAGCAGTGAGTATGTTCAGAGGATGTTAGATCACAGAATTAACAGAACGTTTTAATATAGAAACTGACATGTATTCTAGTTACATTAGTGGGAACTAGTAGAAAAATGTATTTCTATCAAGAGAATATAATTTTCTTCTAATCATAATGGCTTAAATTTTGAGGAATAGAATGGAAACTCCATGTATGTATTTCCACCTGCCTAACATCACTAACACTATGTACATTCAGTTGCTGAGAGAAGAGGCACTATAGAATTGGGCCACATATATTGCACCAAGAACCTTCCACTACAATATTTTTGCAGTAAGTTTCATAGATATACACATTTTTGTTAATACTAATATCATTATAAGTTAGAATCTGGCTGTCACATAGAATGGGTGTTTTAATACCCTATTCCTGTGTGATAAAAAATAAAAGTAATACTTGTAAACTTAAAGTTTGTTCAAATTAATGTTGGGCATAAGGTACCTTATTAAGAATATAAGCCTGTATCTTTCTTTTTTTGTCTTTTGAGCCAACCAGCATCTTGCAAGAAGACACTGGGAGGTTTTGGGATGGAATAGCATTCTTCTTCAAACAACGTTTCCTTGCAGGAAAATCTGAAGCATTAATAAAATAATAAGTTACATACAAATTCGTAGAACAGATGATTAACAAACTAAACACAGTGCCAAGTCTTGTAAAGTTTCAGGTTTTATGACGGTATGGTTCACAGGAGCAGTGTCCCAGCTTATACTTTGAAAAATTAAAAATAAAAGTTACTTTTATGGTTTTATGGTGCTTCATGCAGATGCAATTAAATACAGTTACAGAGTCTTTAAAAGAGGACTGACATCTCTAACTCAGGTATTACTCATAGACCTGGACCTTATAGACACAACTTCCCTGGACTTGGGTAGTGCTATGTACCACGGTTTACCTTGCCTCTCCGTGGCTTTTAAGCTTTCTTCTGGAATTCCAGATACTTAGTCTGTGACAAATGAAGTCTGCCTTCCTTAAGGCTACATATTGTATATCCCCTTCAGAAATTATACAAATACTTTACAATTTTTTGTTTATAAAATTAATTTTTTTAAAAACTATTAAGTTTCTGTTCAATAATTTTAATAAATTGTATAGAAATGTCAATAACTTCAAATAATTCTTCAGATAATTCCTCGTTAATATTGCAATAATCACCTAGGCCAATGTGATATAAAGAAAAACATTCCTCTCTGTTAGCAAGTATGTTGAATTATTTTGCTTGTACACAGTGGAGAAATTTAATGAAGATCAGTATTAAAATAATGCAACTGCACCTTTCCATATCAAGTCTCACATACCACATGTGAATATAGGATTTTGGCATTTTTAATAATGGAAATTCTTGAAAATATGCAGTTATAATTATTGTGAAAATATTACATAGGCCTATGTATCTTCTCAATTTTATAATTGGTACACCTGAATGGTTTTGGCTATGCTTATAAAATTTGGTGAGAATAATCACAAATATAAATAAGAGCATACAATTTCTTTTCTCCATTGTGCCAGTAAGAAATTTTATTTATTTATGTCAAATGGCAGGTATGTAGAATTTCATCTTTGACCCTTTTTTGCCAAGCTTGTAGACCACTTTGCCGTCAAAGACGTTGCCCAGGGTGAACCACAAGGAGGTAGGTCTACTTTGCACCTCCCACTAAGAAATGAAGCATCACGAAATAGAAAATACAGCTTTTCTCAATGTGGACTGTTCAATTCAAGGAAGGCAACATTCTGGTCGCTAAATGTATAAACTCAAATTTAAATAATTACGAAATTTATTTTCCAAATCGATACCCAATTTGCCGAGTTTTCTCAGGTGCTGGACATTATGCACCTCCCTGATGGCACCCACGTGTTCATGTTTTTTTATTTACACCCTTATATAATCACTAATGGCATTGGTTCCAATGAATTACTTACCTGGTAAAATGAAATCTGCTCTTGAAAAATGCCTCGAACAAACAACCATATAAGGCGTAACGGGTTTCTGAAGTCGTAAAGTTTGTGCCCACAACTCCCTCAATTCTGTCTTTCCGAATCCATTCAAAATCGTTATTTTTCTTCCTTTTTTGGGAAATCTGTGGAAGCTGAGACATCTGTCTCGAGACGCTCTTGAAGAACATTGCGGGACAGAACAACATTCCTTAGACACAGATGGACGTTTTTCTGGAAATTCCATGTGTAGCATTAGATATAACTTCTAACAAAGAATCATAAGCTTCACTTCATAAATTATCATAACATGTTAGCAATTATTACAGTGACCCGTAATCTTTAGTACGTAAGAATTCCACCAGAGTTCACATTGATTGGTATAAAATATGGATTACCTACCTTTGTCAAAGACTTTTGCACTGAAATAACAAATTTTGTTAAATCCTTAATGGCTGGGGGCGGAGCATAGTATTTTTCAGTATGAACATTCATGAGAAAGAACCGCCTTACTACTCCAAAGAAATGAACTCGCTATGTGGCATTTAAGACAAGGAGAATTGAATACAAACATTCTCATTTCTGTCAGATGAGTATTAATCGTCCTGTCTATAGCCTCTCTGAAGCACCAGTCTGTTATTACAAAGTCTAAATATGCATGACAAACGCGACGATTTCATTTATTTATCAACGATCTTCACGCAACCGCAAAAATTATTTTGTGTTTTGCGCAGGCACATACAAATCTCAGAATGTGTGGCCTGCTTAGCGTTTCATACTGGTATGCCGGCAGCTACAGAATTTAAATCTCTGAATAATTTGCTTGTAACGTGGAGTCTAAAAAAAGGTAAGCACCCTAGCGAATTGCGTTCTATTTCGTACTAACAATGTAGCAATGTACATGCGCCAAGCTCTTATGATGTTTCAGTCCTGTAATTTATACGTTCTCTGCATGTAGTGCGTAGGGATAACACGTTATGGGCTGGTCGTGTCTGTCCGTCCGGTATGAAATTTGATGTGGAGGTTTTGCCATTCTGTACGACCTCAAAGTCATAGTTTTGAGTATCCTACTAGCGGTAATAACAAAACGACAGGTGAAGAAAATATTGAGGTGGACATTGAAGTGCTGCAATCCAATGGTCAAAGTGGAAAGTATCGAAGTCTGAATTTGTTTACAATGGTAACCACTGGCGACCATTGTTATGCGTTCTTTGAATGTTTACCGCGGTTACTAACGAGGTAATCGTGGTACGTAATGATGTAAGTAGGATTCAACCGAAGTATTCGTGTATGTTTAGATATTTTGTTCCTTGTTGGGACAGTTTAGCTTACCTCAGAATAGTACACGTTGGTTTAGTTAGGTTAATCAGGTCCGTTACCGTTAAAAATATTAAGTGAGGTTAGGTTAGTTAATGTTTGTTCGGTTGGTGTGAAGGTTTTGTTGGGCGGTGTTATGTTAGTTGAAGTTACATTACGTTAGGTAAGATTAAGTTATTTTCGTTTAGGTAAGGTTACTTTAGGTTATGTTGTAAACAACGCATGAGGATACTCTACGTGTTTCAGTGCTGACTACACTTTCCTGGCTTGTTTATGTAGGTGGATTGCCTTCGATTTCATTTGAGCGCAGGCCCTCTTCATGGTTTTGTGTGGTTACTTTATACCCAGATGTACGTGGGTTGCTGTTGCACCACACGTCCGAAGTAATGTTTGTTGTAGTTTTACAAGTAAATAAAAGCATTTTCCTTATTTATTTATTTATTTGTATTTTGGGATAGTCCTAATGCTTCTTAACAGCAACAGTAAGTATTTAGGAGAACTTTCAGTTACAAAGTAAGAATCGATATTGAGGAAAATGATAATATGGAGGTACAATTTGACAGGAGTGGGGGCAGAGGGTTTCATGTAAATGGGACAGTGAAAGTTATTTGCTTATAAATATAATAAAAGGAAATTATTCTTAGTTTCTTGGAAGAAAGAATCTGGACCATCACAATTTGCATTTGACCACAAAAACTTGTTGCTGTCATTCTGCCAGAAGTAGTGTAGAAGTTCGTGCCCACACTCAACAATGCATAGTGAAAAAGCAATAAGTGGTGCTACAAATGCACCTGAAATGATTACTTCTGTAGTGAAACAAAAGGACGTTTCAATATTACCGACTATTTGGTTTACACATATTGTGTCTCCTGAAAGATTGGAAGGTAGCCTCTTTGGCTTTATTTGGGAGCGTAAACCAAGCTGATATATGATTATGTCACAGGTGACAAAACATTAGTTTTGACATGCTAAACAAAATGAGAATTTTATGAATAGACAAGGAAAGAGAAAATTACAAAACAATTCAAATATGAGCTAGGATTTTATTGAATGTATTAAATCAAAATATGATTATTACAATGATTATATTTTTCTTAGATACTGTGCACAAACACCTGAAAAGGAAGTTAAATTGGAAAAATGTTCCAAGTAATATTTGCAGATGATAATGCATAAAAATACTCTCATTTTTAAAACGTGCTATTAAATTTGTTGTGTCTACGAGAACAGAATATCTCAAGTACAGCTATTATAATTTGTACCCTGGCCATAAAATGTTCATTAACATTTTAGGTACAGTATTTAAATTATTGCTTTCTATAGCACGTATGGATTTGAAAGGAATTTAAACCATCCCAGAGTGCTGCATTTTACAATAGTGTATTTATAGCATTTTTAAGTTAGAAACTCGTCTTTCCATGTTTTTATTGATTATTCTCAGAATTTATCCTCATACTGCATATTTACAGTGGTAGGAAATATTGGAGTTGACTGTACTTGGCTTATAACTGCTGTGGGCATGTATGTTTAGTCTGCCAAGGGTCATAGTAAAATTAATACAATCTTTCTAGTTATATTTGCTGGTAGCCCGATTACAGAACAGTTTATCAACAAGTAGTTCCAAATAAGGAAAGTAAAAATGACCTAAGGCATACAGGTTCATATTTGGAATAAACCCCTTTAGCAGCCACATAACACATGAATGAGTAAGCAATATTGAAAGATTATTTCAGTTGTGATTCAGTCTGCTACAACTGGTGTCACAGGCCAGAGCAATATATTTAATTCGAATCAAAAGGCTTTGTTTCTATCATATGAAGTAAATTTCATTCCACTCCCATCAAATGCAACAGAGTTAATCTGAAATTGCACAGAGTTTATCTCATTTCCATTGTCCCATTGCAGACCAGCTGTTTTAGAGAGAAAACTTCGAACTGCCGTCCAATTTATTCTTCCAGAGTGAACTGTCACACTGGTTTTGCATGAAAGTCTGCAAGTAAAATGCAAGGAGAGTTGTGTGGGGCTGTGTATTGGTGTTTTTAAGAGTGCAACAAAAATTCTAAATGTGATATATTCAGGAGTGCTAGTAGCTTTGGAAGACACAAAACATTCTTATCAAATATGTAAAAAAACAAACATATTTTGCAATATGTTCTGCAAATCAAAATGCATCAGTATGCCTGAAGTGCAGGATATGAGTCATTGATAAGATAAAGGTTGAGAAAAGGAAAGAGTAATTTACCAGATGGATACAAATCTCAGAATTATATCCAGCATTGATACTGGCATATATTCAGAATGTCAACAGTCTCCATATATAGCAATGAAATGAAAATAGAAAGTATAATCTTATACATTCATAAACTCTGAGAAATTACACACCAGGCACTGTTTTATTGCTTCATGCCATACAATGACCTAGAAACATACATCATAATTGCACCAACAAATTTGAGAACAAGGAGAATAACAAGAATTCAAGAAACATGGCCACAACCACTTTAAGAACAGACTGTGGAATGTGATGTTACTTATAATGAAATTAATCATAAGAAAAGAGTGAAAAAGGATAAAATTTTATCAGGTCACAGAACTTCCTCCTTCTACCATTATTTACATGTTTTATCACTTTTATAAATTCATAAATAACTGACCATAAAAGCCATGTGCTAGCAATAAAGTTTAATTACACTTTGCATACCGAGTCATTATTGTAACTGTTTAATACAAACTAGATATTTTCATCACTGATGACTGGGGTTTGAACCTAGGAGTAGTCCTCTTGATCAAGGTCCTCCTGGTTAGACTGTTGCATGGATACCATTTGAGCAGCAGCCTGAAGCTGCAGCCATTGTTGTTGCTCGGCAGCAGCCTGCTCCTCTCGTGCCTGCAACCCAACAGCCCACGTGTACAGTGCAGGAATTTAACTGCACATCAACATGAACATATGGAAATGACAGGATCACTTAACAAGAGAGGACTTAATGAACAAAAAATATATATCAATGACCAATTAGAGAATCTGTCTTATCAACTGAGAACTGAATGACAGTTTTTCTAAACTGAAATTATCATATGACTGTGTTCACTGACATAAAATAAAACTGGAAAGGTGTAATCTGTACCAGAAACTTCAGGGTTTCCACACATTTTCTTTGCAAATTTTGAATTGTGAATGCGCCTAGCTTAAATAAAACTATATCATACACATACCATGCAAGCTTTACCACATGTATCACCTTCAATGTACACTGCACACTACTCATTGTTTCATTCCTCTTATTGCCGTTCACAATATGGCCAAAGATATATCCATACACTTTGAGACAGTTTCAACTCATGATAATATGTCCATCCAGAGTCAGTCACACACATACTAAATACATATGATTATATAAATACAGTACATACTGTGTATACATATACATGGTATTTTGAACATCACATGCAGACATACTAAAATCTAAACCTCACAAAGTAAATTTCAAAATTATGCAACAGAAAGTAAAAATATTATGAAAATGAAACCATCAATAAACCTTTGCAAACAACTCCTGCTGTTGTCGTAATAATTCTTCCTCAGGTATACCCAAATTTTCTAATCGTGTGCTCTGTCGCCTCCTCTTTGCTGCAACAGCCTTACAGTCTCTCACTACAGCTTCTGCATCTGCTCTGTAGTCACCGAACCCCAGCCGGTCCAATGCTGCCGATAATATAAAAATAAACGTATTTGTTCCTTTATGCTCTTCAAAAGTAGGCCGGCTCTACTTACAAATTTTACGTCATGTTACTGTAACACAGCAGCAGTTAACATCATTAGAAGTATCAAGACTGAATTCATGTCCTGACATATTTCTATGTGTTCAAGCAAGCGTACAGTTTCTTCCTTTGCTTCAGTCATTTGTGATCAGCATTTAAGTCGGAATGGTTTTGTCATGTACCAATTTAACAGTGTCTGAATGTGATAAAATTTGAGCGTTTGGAAAGACGGTCAACTGATGCAAAATAAGCAATGAGATAAGTAAATGTTTTTTAATATTTATGTATTTTCAAAGAGGGCCAAATGCACATTTAAAGTGATGAGCAACCTGAATGCCCTTCAGCCAGTTAATCTTATGGATCAGTAGCTCAGTCGCATGATTTACTGAATTATGAATGTCAGGCCACTTGAACTCAGAACTTTGGAGTGAGGCCTGTCTCAACCAAGTTTTATCCATAATTGCACGGACAGAAAACTGCTTATCTGTGGCTTCAGACTTCTTTAAATGTGCATAAAGTGATGAAAATGTTATTAAAACTGTCCTACCAGGGGTTATTACTCCAAAACTACTAACCAAGGGAATCATATTTGCCATGACCACAAAAACAAACCAGATGTGCAGCTAAACAAAAGTCATGCTGATTTTCTTCAGTTATGGGGTGATGGTTCACAAGGTCAGAGAATCAAGGAACATTCATATTCAAAAGTACTGAGACGTCTTTGGCTTAAAAAGTGAGAACATAAAATGTGGCCAATTTACCTGCCCACCTAAACACAGTTTGTGCAGCAATTACCAGCTAAACATAATAACTGTTATATTACAGATTCTTTTAACTTTCAAAAGAGTTTGATAAGAATATTGGAACAAGTGTGTGCGCTAAAAGAGCCTACTTAGATGGGGATTAACTGCTCTTCCCTGTATGCAGAGTATTTTAATTTTGACAAATTCAGTCTTGATACATTCTTATCAGGCCTCAAATGTTTTCCAAATGAAACTTTATAAAACATCGTCTTCATAACAATCTTATGTGGTTTGAGGTTTGGGCTCCAGCTCACTCTAGAAGGTGATATGCAAACAATTGGGATGTTTCATTACTGTAAAGTACATATAATGTGCAGTGCAATAATTTATTTTAGTGAACTGTTACCATCATAATGCTTATGTATGGCTAGGCATTTCAGTGGATGCCAGTGATCCCTCTTAAGTTTGTCCACAGTTATTGCAGTGACAAATCAAAATATAAACTTATTAAAATAATTTCTTTAATGTACCTTTCCCTCCTCCCAAGACATCACTTGTTCTGGCAGCAAATTCTCTGAACAATGCTACATAACACGCCTGAAGACAATTCTACTTAAGGAATTGTCTGTCCCACTGATATTAGGCAATGTGTACCTGCAACTGCACTATACAATTTGACATAACGTATAGGTTACTCAATGGATAAGCCTCCTTTGTATTATTATCTTCATCACAACATGGTACATAACCAAGCGATCAGACTGTTTCAATTTCCAAAATTAACTTATAAACATCCAAGAAACTACTCATACCTACAACATATATGCAGACGCCTTATACATACATTTCTTTAATCAAACAATTACAAAATATCTTTAAAGTCTTATTACATTGAGTACTTTCTGTGGTAAAACTAGGTTGTACCCTGTAAAACATGTTCGGCATTTATGGTTTTCTTCTGTTGATGATTGCAGATATCATTTGCTTCTGAAGATATAAGATGAATAAATTCTGTACAGCAATTTAGAATCAATTCACGTGACTCATTTGCAACACGTATATTTGGTAGAATTTCTTTTATCATTTTGTTGATTGATGCCCGAGGCAGGGTGAGCTCTTCATCATCAACTGACATTGAACCAGAAGAAGCCATTCTAATAGAACAAAAAATCAGAACATGAACAGTGAAAAAATACGTTCACTCCATTAAATGTCATAAAATTTACTGATCTAATAGTGCACGTAGCACAAACACTACATGGGTCACTTTTCGACTACAGCATTCTGTATAGAAATAAGCAAAACCAAAATAATATATTTTACTTTCGTTTTATGTACTACATCAGTTGGAGATCACTGCAATTCATCATACGGTGTTGAATATATTTCAATTTCGTGACATATGCATGTCAATAAAGCAACACTAACCTTATTCCCAGAGCAAAATACTAAAATCAGAGAAAAAATTATGTTCACACATATTTGCGTACAAATTAAAAGTGAAAATCGTTTAAGAAATAAAGTTAACTTGCCTTTAATACACAATCGTCCGTCTTATTTAGCCTTTAATGTACAACACATAAACAACTAAACACAATAACGAAAGATGAACATACAAAAGTTGCGCAAATTGTGCCAACATTACAAAATGATTGTTGCTTTAAAATCGGTACGCTACTTGGAAAAAACAGAATGAGAATACTATAATTCATTCGACGCAGAACAGATTTTTGTCTATCGTCTGATTGGCATAAAAATTGCTACATAGAGGAATATTTTCTATGGCAGTTCCATCGGAATTACACTATGTTTCCAAGTACATCAAAACGATTGAACCAAATCCGGCTTTATTTTTCATTGATGCAAATTGTTGGTGTTAATGGAGAGGTATCATCTGTGACTATGTGTTCTGTCTGTGATGTGAAACAAGTTCATGTGGAAGTGTATATAGTGCTTGTGCTTTTTAAAAACGTGTGTGAGGATACTAATCTGTTTAGTTAATATTAGTAAACATAGAATTGAATTTGGGAGGTTATAGTGCGCTTTAGTGATGTTAAAAGTAGTCAAATACACATTTTCATTTGTTTATGTTGAATAAGTAGAAAGTATGGAATTGACAGATTCATTGAATGCTTCGTTGCCTGTATCCAGTCAAAGTAATCTGAACTCACCACATCCAAGATTTGCACAATATAAAGTTCGTAATAATGTGCCAGACCAATATGAAAGAAGAAGGCGGCTACTTGAAGAACAGAAACAGTGAGTTTTGCAAAATGACTAGGCTAATTTACCGAACCAGTGAAGTACCAGGATTTTAAATCCCAGTATCCCCTGCTGTCCCAATTTATATCATTATGACATCACTGACTTAACTAAAATGTGAACGCATAGTGTAAACGTTTCTTTTCCTAGAGAGAGATAACTGTAGAATTATTTGTTCCTGCTATACACCAACTTTTCACCCCCATAATACAGTCTACCATTTGAGGGACAGTTTTTCTTGGTACAGTTTCCAACACATAGAAATGCACACTTCATCACCAGAGCGCTCACAACAGTATACACTCATTGCTTAGTGTTTTGTGTGGATTTTCTCCAGATGGGCAACTGAGAAGATTTTGGTCTTGTTCTTTTTCCTACCTTGGCATATTCCCTTAGCATTTACAGCCATGCCTTCACTGCAAGGAAAAGGTTGTGAACAAATTGTTAATTAAATTCCAAGTGGGTCATTTCATTTCATATGGCTTCTGTATTATAAAATAATTTATTATAACTAGACAAAAGATTTTTGTTCACTTGAAGTTCTGCAACTTGTGTGAGACCTCTTTCTTCTTATCAACATAGTTTGTGTGTCACTGTTTGAAGTACTTGGGGCTTCAAAGCATTATTCACACCAAAAATTCCCCTCATCTGCTAGTGTACCAGCCTCTCTTCTTTCCATTATGCTGCTGTCATTTTTCCTTACAGTATCCCACTTTTTCTTTTCAGGGCTCTAGAACCAACATTTTGTAACATTCCTTCTGTTACATCAAAAAGTGTCACAATAAGTAAGTTTCCTTCTGTACAGGTCATCGATGATATTACACCTTGAAATATTGCAAATTTAGGTACTTACACTTCTCAACTTACACAGATGATCCTACATCTGCTTTTCTGTGCAGAGGGCAAGTGGACAGTATCAGCATAATATTAAACTATGAACAAATAGGTTTTGAATAATTCCTTTAGACAAGACAAATGTCTAGTACTGTTTGTCATGTACCAGTAGCTCTTCTGCTGCCACCTGTAGATAATAGGTAGTTTGAAAACTTTAATCTCTTTGCTCGTGATATTTTATGGCCAGAGGCTGTTAGTAGCTTGCAGAATGTAATACTGACAGCAGTACGGATTTGATTCCTTCAATAATAATGTGATCAGAAACTGCTAGGAACAGTTTTGAGTATTCGATGGTATAAGAATAATCCTTGACATCAGGTGTTGCATTACGAGCCAACCCAACACTGGGTCTTATGAAACCTTATACCTGTCTAATACTACCTCTGCTCCCAACATACCATCATCTACAAGCTATTCTGATCGTTTCTCTTTTGAATAAGGAAAAACGTATGTTCTAAACAGTTGGCTCCCCATCTACAAGTTTCTGTCCTGAATCTTGTTCTAGATACTGTCACTTAACAGTTGCTTCCTGAATCCTGGAACACAGCATATAACTTATCAAAGAAATTAAAATTGGTAATCAGTATGAAACAATCTTGGAGCTTATTTAAAGTTTTTACAATTTTATGAACATCATCTTAATAATTTTTTATGCAAGCTTTCAATCTTGCTGCTAACAGAAAGCTGTATTTAAAACTAATGAATGTTTAACTTCTTTTTCTTCCTTGGCTTTACATTCCAGTTTTGGGTCTTCGCTGCCTCCTTTTTGGAGGTTTCCTAGTCTTTGAAGCATTCATTTGTGAGTAGTGAGTGACCAGCCCACTTCTTCTGCACAATTTTACTCAATACTGATTTGACTGCTAGAGCCATCTAGTAGTGAATCAGGAGCAACTTGGGTGAGAAATGGCCCCATTAATTGTGCTTACGAAACATCTCATTTCATGCTTGTAAGGTTCTTTTACGTGCCATAAATCTACGACATTGGACCACTGGCTTTACTTCCCCTCCAAAGGAAGTTGTGCTACGGATTTTTATCACCTTAAAAAGCCATCGACCTCGGTTGGATTTGAGCCCCCTAACCTTGGGTCCAGTGGCAAGCACACTAACCACTAGTTCACTGAGGGTGACAAATGGATGACTAAAGCTATCAAAATATCCTGCAAACATAAACATGATCTTTACCTATATAGCCAAACTAGTATCAACAGTGACATTTAATAACTACTATAAAAGCAAACACAGAAACATTCTTAAGTGGTAGTAGGAATGTTGGTCTAAAAATATATGCAGGAAAGACTAATTATCATGTCTCAGCATTAGAATTCAGGACAGAACCAGAATATAAGGATAGCTAATGAATCATTCGAAAATGTGACAAAATTCAAGTGCTCGGGGATGACACTAACAAGTCAGAATGTCATTCATGACGAAATCAAGAGCAGATAAATTTAGGGAATGCTTGTTATCATTCAGTCCAAAATCTGTTGTCCTCCCGTCTCATAAAAAGAAGATTAAAATATATATAAGTGTAATTTTGCCAGTTGTGCTGTATGGGTGTGAAACTTGGTCTCTCACTTTGAGGGAAGAACATTGATTGAGGGTGTTTGAGAAAAGAGTGGTGAGGAAGATATGTGGACCTGAAAGGGAGGGAGACAGATTATGGAGAAAGTTGCATAATGATGAGTTTCATGGCCTTTGCTCCTCACATGATATTGTTTGGGTGATTAAATGAAAGAGGATGAGGTGGGCGGGACATGTGGCACACATGGGGGAGGGGAGGGGTGAAGGGAGGAGACCGCTGGGAAGACCTAGGCAAGGGTGGGAAGATGATGTTAAGATGGACCTTAGGGAGACAGGTATCGATGGAGTGAACTGGATGCAGCTAGCTCAGGATTGAGTCCGATGGCACGATTTTGTGAGCACAATGATGAACCTTCATGTTCAATAAAGAAAGTTTAACAAGCTTTGTATACAGTTGACTTTTCAAGGAATATTCTGCACCGTAAGGTGAATGAATGATAGTCTTTTAGAGAAAGTCTGGAGTGTTATTGACTGTTGATGATGTCTCCACTTGTGTTAAATTCATTCTTTCTGCATCAACATTTTTTGTATGATGTGTCAAGACACAATGCATCTTCAGAATTTTGGAGGATGATGTTGCTGCTATCAACAAATTGAGAATTTTCTTTGTAATTGTCTCTTCCATCTGATAACAATCAGAGTGGACAGTATACACACCTGTTTCACATTCTTCTTGTTCTGCAACATTCAAGCTCTCTGTTGTACATGTAATTTTCTAACAATTCATGGCCATCAGACACCTTGGACCAGGATATTGTTTGTTTGCCGTAGTTTGTCCAAAGCATCTGCAGCACTTCCATTACAGAATTTCTGGTAAAGTTTGATGTTGGCCCACTCCGTGTCTCAATTTTGAATACCCCCACACTATGAAACCTATCACACCTGCTTGTCTAACATAAAATGAACAGTTATGCAACATGCATGAGAACAGATTCACACCTTCTTTCTTTGACAGCATTATTTTTTATTTTTGCTTCTGTTCTGTCTTTGAGTGTTTATTAGCTACTGCATATTCAGGCCTATACAGTTACCCTTCTTTGCTGTGTAAAACAATTTGTTGTGTTTTGTAAAAACAGGAAACGATGTGAAACGTTTAATGCAAGCCGTGGGCTAATTGAGGAACTGAATGATGTAACTGAGGAACATGATATGGAATGGACTGCAGTTAAGGTAAGCTGTAGATATAATTGGTAAACTGAATAAAACAATGTTTACACAAAATTGAGTAGCAACCATAATGTTCAAGGCCTCAACCAAATCTGAAGTAAATCATCTAAATGCATTCTATAATATACATATTCTGAATTTCTTTGTCTTCAGGCTAAGCCAAGGCAGTGTAGAGTTTATAGAGGTCGACTGATGTTGTCTGAATGGTTGGTACATGTACCAGAGGATCTAGCAGAACTGTGGTACTTGGTTCCATGTCCAGAGGGCCGCAGAACTTTGGTTGTGGCTACTGGAGTAAGTTGCTAAACTTGTTATATAATCCATATGTTGTTTCATGAATTTCTGTCCATAATTTATGTTAATACTAATTACTACAGTAGGGCCCCGCTTTACGGCGATCCGCTAATACGGCGCTCAAGTGTCTTCGCATTGTTACTAACGCGCCTTGGTATGTTGGTAACAGGCAAATACACGAGGATTTGGGGATCCCTTTCTTTGCCGACCACATCAGAAAAAGAGATAGCCTTATTGCCGACATGGAAAACTTTTAGTTGTGTGGATTGAAGATCAAACCAGCCGCAATGTGCCTTTAAGCCGAGGCATCATCCAGGGCAAGGCTTTAAGTCTCTTCAATTCTATGAAGGCTGGGAGAGGTGAGGAAGCTGCTGATGAGAAATTCGAAGCTAGCAGAGGCTGGTTTCAAAGGTTTAAAGATAGAAGCCAACTTCATAACATTAAAGTGCAGGGTGAATCAGCTAGTGCAGAAACAGAAGCTGCAGAAAGGTATCCACAAGAGCTAGCTACGATAATCGAAGTGGGTGGGTACACTAAAGAACAGATTTTTAATGTAGATGAAACTGCATTGTATTGGAAAAAGATGCCATCCAGGACTTA